CGCCTCGGGGCCGTCAGCGGCCCGGCCCTCCAGGAGCTGCAGGAGTACGTTCTCTTCCCGCTGCGCTTCGCCCTCAAGGTGCCGGGGCCCAAGCAGGAGCGCCTGGTGCAGAGCGTGGTGCAGTGCATCTCCTCTGTCCTCGCAGTGACCTGTGTGAAGAAGCAAGAGCTCCTGCAGGAGCTTTTCTCCGAGCTCTGTACGTGCCTCTCTCCTGCTCCTGGCTTGAGCAAACCAGCCTCGCTGTCAGAGGAGTTAAAGCTGGCTGTAATCCAAGCGCTGCACACCCTGCTGCATTCAGCTTATGGGGATGTTATCTTGTCTTTGTATCAACCTTCCACCCTTCCTCTCCTAGGATTTGCTGTATCTTTGCTTCTGGGCCTAGCAGAACAAGAAAAAGCAAAGCAAATTAAGATCTCTGCTTTGAAGTGTTTACAGGTCCTAATTCTTCAGTGTGACTGCCAGGAGCATCGACACCTGGATGAAGATGAGGCACAACAATGTGGGGATTTGTTTGCTTCCTTTCTGCCTGGGATCTCTATTACACTGTCTCGGGTTATTACTGGAGACATCAAACAAGGCCATAAAACCACTGTTTCTGCCATCAGACTCTTCTACCAGATTGTTGGCTTAGTAATGTCTGATGAACAGCTATCAAGAGTCCCAAAAAATAAAGAGAAGCTGTTAGTGGAACAAAGCAGAATATCAGAACTCATGATCCATAGAGGACCTGACTGGAGTAAGAGTACTGCAGAAAAGCTCTCTCTCCTCGTGCATAAGATAGTTGAATTTTCTTCGGTTCACCCCCACTGGAAAGTGAGACTGGAGCTGGTAGAACTGGTCCATCACTTAATGAGGAATTGCAGGCACTCGCTGGTGGACTCATTCAGTCATCTGCTAAAGGCCTTGGTTGGGCTGGTTAATGATGAAAGCAGCGAAGTCCAAAAGAGGTGTAATGAGGTTCTGCAAGGCACTGCAGAACAGAGGATAGTAGCAGAAAACAGGGCTCTTGCTGATGTTCTGTCAGAGAACCTCCATTCCCTTGCCACAGCTCTTCCTCGCCTGATGAACTCTCAGGATGATCAGGGCAAATTTTCTACCTTGAGCTTATTACTTGGCTATCTGAAGCTGCTGGGCCCCAAGATTAACATTGTCCTCAACTCTGTAGCCCACCTCCACCGTCTCTCCAAAGCACTGATGCAAGTTCTGGAGTTGGATGTGACTGACGTGAAGATCGTGGAAGACCGGCGTTGGGGTTCTGAAAGTTCACGTGAACCTTCGGGCTGCTTGCAGAAGGGAAAGCGTCAGAGGAAGTACTTCCGCTTCTTCACAGAGGAGAAAGTTTTTCAGCTCCTTCAGCAAGTTTGTCGTGTTCTTGGCTACTATGGGAACCTGTATTTGCTTGTGGATCATTTCATGGGGCTGTACACTGAGTCTGTCATGTACCGAAAGCAGTCTGCAATGGTCCTTAACGAGCTGATTGCAGGAGCTGCTGGAGTGGGGGTAGATGTCCTTCGTGAAAGGGAAGATTCAGTGAACATGGACGATCTGAAAGGGACCATAACATCCATTCTTGATGAATACACGGACCAGGCAAACTGGTATTTAATCACTAGTATTGACACAGAAGAAGTTGGTACTGAGTTCTCTGTGCAACATTCAGGACTTCTTGCCAGTCCTGGAGGTGCATGCAGCGGCATTCTCATTCCATCCTCAGACCCACACCTTTCTACCCACACTATGAATGGCAACATCTGGCAGATTTGTATCCAGCTGGAAGGGATCGGCTG